CGACTCATTATGGATTATTGGAGGCGCGTCACAGGGACACAACCAACTCAGCCGGCCGCGGCTTTATTTACGGATGAAAGTCGCAACAAGTAACTATATAATTAATTGGCCAACATTGCTCATTATTTACTGTATTTGCAGACAGAGTTACAGACTCTCTCAGACCACAGACTCAGAATACAAGTCAGAGCTTTATAGAAAAAAGTTGTTTTCAAAATTGGAGTTCAAGTTATTTTTACTTCCAGTAGTGTTGACGTGCTGCAGGTCAGGAACAGGATTTGTTTAAATTGTCATTGTAAAGCAGTTAATTAAAAGTCGTCTAACATACATGTAAACGCTGTAATGTGATTATTTTAATAAACATGTAACTTGGATGGATTCGTGCTGGCGTGACCACAGTGCTCACGTCTGCTGTTGCTCAGGGAGTTTGTGTGTTCGCTCAGACACGTGAAACATTAGAGGGAACGTTGGTCAGAGCTGCTGCTGGTCCTGCTCTGGCTTCATAAGCACACAGCAGAGGCTCAGCTATGCAGAGTTACAAACAAGTACATTCTGTAAGTGAGCAGAGGGATGTTAGTGTCATGACCTTTGTGTGCGCAGGAGGCTTTTTCAAAATGATACGATTCATGAAGCTCTGTGTGAGGTCAGATCAGAATCAGACATGTGACAGCGTGACGCTAACCTCACCCAGGTAAAAGTCACGACCACGAGTAACCTCTGACCCCTCCCTCCCTCTCTGCTTCCAGTTAGCCTATCAGGTGGTGGAGCTGACGCAGCAGATAAAAATCAAAGACGGCGTTCTGGAGGAGCAGCATGCCAGGTGAGTAACACACCTGAGACTGTCAGCTCACCAGTCAGGTGTAAAAACCTGCTGCAGGTGAGTTCAGGCTGAGGTCAGAGAACAGGAGGAGGAGGAGCCTCGTTCTAGTTTTCCTTGTTCATTCGCTGAGTAGAAATATCGACTCACAGCTGAGCTCAAACTGCACTTTAGATCAGACTCTGCTGCTCGTCCACCGGGGGGCGCTGCGCCATCTGGCAATAATTCAAATATCTGAACCATCTGAAATTATTTTTAATAAAAGAAAAAAATCAGATTCTTTACTCTAATATTCAAACATTTAAATATATTTTATCCTTTTTGTCAAAACACAGCAAACCTCTTTATTATTTTATGTTTTTATTTGAAATGTGTTCTTCAAATCTTGTAAACTTTAGAAAAACATCCATATTCTACTTTGACATATTGAGTCTCAGGTGTTTGCCTCCAGTGTTTGTGTGTGCGTCTCCATGACACCTCATACTGGTGTGACCTACTCTTTCCTCCACCTTCAGGCTGCTGCAGGAGCAGCGTTGCCTGTCGCGAGTGTCTGAAACTCATCAGGAGCTGCAGGCACAGGTGGAGCAGGTTCAAGGGCAGAACACGGTGCTGAAGGTGGAGTACGACACTCTCCTGGAGCAGCAGAGAGCAGCGGAGGCGAAACTAAGGCAGGAGACAGTCGGAGGGGAAGAACTGCTGGCCAAGGTGATGAAGCGGAAAAACCAGGCCGCAGCTCGGATGAACAGCCACAACGAACGCCGCTCCAGGTACCTGAATGCACCGCGCACACCTGTTCATCTTGTACCTGAATGCACCACTCACACCTGTTCATCGTGTACCTGAATGCACCGCGCACACCTGTTCATCCTGTACCTGAATGCACCACTCACACCTGTTCATCGTGTACCTGAATGCACCACTCACACCTGTTCATC